CCCCTGTTCTCTTCCGTCTCACTTTTCTCTCATTCCTTTTCATGTCCCACTTTCATTCTCTCTTACCTTCCCTTCTGCTGTTCTGTCTCCTTCCCTCCCCACCCCCTTCCCAGCTTCTATTTTTCCCTGATTTTCTGCTTGCTATCAGCCTAATTGGCTCCACCTGCCAGCGAGGACCATAAAATTGGAGAAGTCGCCATGGCCGGCTGATTTGGACATGGCCCGCTCTCAGACTGTTTAGCTCAGCATAGCTATTGCTGCCACTCCCAGCCCAGAATGAACAAGGGACTACGCCAAGAGGGGATAAACTCAGAGACAAGAGGCTGGGTGAATGCAGACCATGTCTGACACAGCTGGCCCCTGATGGAGCCCTGACTAGAGTCTCTGGGCACCACTGCAATATTGACTAATTAATAACAACATAGTATCACGAGTAGGTCCTGCGTAAGCCAGAGGCAGAAGTGGGGCTGGATTTGGGCTGGATTCCCACCATGCTCAGAGGGATTCCTTGGGGATGTATGCAAGATTGAGACTGTCTAATGGGCATTACAGCATCTTGGTTATTTGAGAACTCAAAGGAGACCATTTGGCCTATCCCATTTGATACCCAGACCCCTATTTCTTTGACATCCTGTATGCCGTGGTACTTCCTAAGTCACTAAGCAACATTAAGAGCCACTATACTCTTCAGCTCCATGGGCTCAGTGGTAAATGCACTGGACGCTAATAATAAAGCTAAGTTCTACTGTACTTTAAATCTAGATTTTTATTGCCCACAACCAACAACGGTCACAGGGATTGGGCCCTTATTGCTGGCAAGCAGGGGGTTTTTTTCTTTTTCTTTTTTTTTTTTAAAGAAATTTTTCGTGTTCCAAGCCAAATCAGCCAAACCATTCCAAATCCACACGTCCATCCAAAACCATACATGGTCCTACAACCGGCAAACATTTTCCATACCCACCAGGGGCTTCAGATGTTTCCAGCGTCTTTTGGCGGGCATCCTACGTGCAGGTCCAAGCCTGGAGGCTTTGGGGTTTGGATACCCCCAAGTTTTACCTGCCCTCAGCCATATGGCCGTAAGAGCAAGCTAGGGAGGAGCCTCCTATTTCCATAAAATGGGCTTCAAGCCCCAACATCTCAGCAGGTACTAAACCACACCAGAAGAACAGTTATCCCAGAGAAGACTTAAGGAAAACTGCCTTCTTGGACCCATATACATGGTGTTTCCCCTGCCAAGTAAGTATATTGCCTGCAAACAGCCACTGTTTCAGAATCTGCACAGCCTAGGAGATATGGCACTAAACTGGGACTCAAAAGATCTTGACTCTAGTCCCAGCCCTGCCTCTAACTCGTAGTGTGCTCATAGCCAAGCCAATTCACCTCCCTGCCCATCTCCCCTCCTACCCCTGTCTTGTCTGGTTACCTTGTAAGCCCTTCTAACACAGGATCCTTGCTCCTCATAGCCCTTGCAAACTGAATTCAGAAAAAGTTATATCAGCTGATTCAAAGCAATTCAACAGTGTCCACATAGGAAGGTTTGAATATATGGATTTAAAAAACAATCTAGTGAAATTAGCGCTCTTTTTTTGTGGGTAACCAAGGTCCAGATGTTAGCAGAGTGACTGGCACATTGGGTCCTAACCAAGGCTGGTGCCCCTTGGTGCTACTGCAGGAGTATGATTCAAGGCTGAATGTCTCACTATATTTAGAGTTTCTGGTATTTATTTCTGTGTTATCACAGGAGTGAATTGGATCAAGAAGATATAAAGCTGAGACATCCAACGTGGGAGAGGCACTTATCAGTAGTTTTTCTAGAAAAGAAAAAATGTTTATGCAACTTTCCACTGAGAGTAATTACTCTCAATGGAAAGTTGCATAGACATTTTTTCTTTTAGTGGATATTCACTGGTGTTTTGTCCTCCGCTACAAGTGACATCATCCCAAATGGATTCCTACTGGTACAGGTTTAATAACCAGATTCTACATGTATATCAGTGCCCAGGGCTGCAGAAACACAGGTCTCCAACACCTATGGTAAAGGAGCACCTGCAAAATAAGACTTTTATCCACTGTACCATCTGGCAATACAGAGCAGTACAACTGCACATTCCCTTAGTCAGTACCTATCAGGGAAAGCCAAGATAGGATGGCCAAGGGAGTTCTCCCTGCAGGTCTTACCTGCTCATCCATGGATGGCCGTCTTCCTACAGCAGACCTCAAAGTACAGATTACACTGCTGGGCAGGCAGAGAACAAACAAAGAGCTAAGGCCCTTCTGAGCCTAGCAGCCCATCAGGCTCCCCAGTTTCTGTAGCTGGCAGCAGTCACGTGGTCCACATCACATCCAGTTACCTGTGATTCCCCACCCTGAATAATCAGGCATCCATTTATATCTTGGTCACCTCAGCGCAGTCTTTGACAGAGCAGGACTCAGACTCTTACTATTAGGGATACAGTGAGGCACATACCTTCACTATTCTGCCACCCCTCCCCATGGCAAAGATAACAAATCCCATGGCAATTCCTCAGGTGATAAATCTATACAAAATCTGTCCCTGCTGTACCCATTCACATAGTGCCCAAGACAGCACATACTTTCCACTGAGTTCACATAACTACTGGGTTCAAGCTCTAGTTTCTTGCTTAGGGAAGCTGTAGAATATCCTTCCTTGGGGGTTTTCAAGAAGAGGGCATCTCTGTGGGATGGTTTAGGAGCAGCAGAGCCATCTTTTGTGCAAAGGGCTGAACTGGATGACCCTCAGGAACCCTCCCAAACCTATGATCCTATTTGACAGTTGTTGCATATTTCCCTTTCTTAATATAGCAATAGAATTTATAAATAATCAAGGCAGAGCCCTGGCCCAGAGAGGGATCCAGGGAGAGGTTACATGAGCTGGTTTATTAGCTTTGTTTAAAATTTAGTTTCCTCTCCACCCCTCCCCCTTGATCAAATTAGGGCTTCGGTCACTGGAGCCTAGGACCCTCATTGTGCAATTGTCTGCATTTAGGTTACTGATTGTTTTGCATGTATGTCTTCATTCCAAGAAAACACAGAATATTTTGTTCCCACAAATAAGCCAGAGATCAGAAGAAAAACACACTCTGCTTTGACAACTTCTCTGGCTGCAAACTGTGCTCCTAACTCAAGAAGCTGTCTGGGAACACTAAACATCACAGTGTTTCAGAGGGAGGTGGAAATCCTGCTTCCACACTTTTCAGTTCAGCTCACAGGGTTGCCTTGGTTTTAAGCACACACAGACCTAATGTCAAGTCCAATACAACATCTGTGGTATGTCCAGGGTTACGCTTTGATAACGGTTCAGTTGCTGAAAACATCACAACCTTCCATATTCTTATACTAGAGAAAGGGACACTGCAGCAACTGTACATTAGAGGCTTGTCTGTGTGCAGTGGGGCTCTGGAAGCATCTCTTCCATTTTGTTGGGTGCTAAGGATGAATTGTGTAAGGCACTGAATTGTGGAATGGGTCACAGGAGCCAGTGACACTGAATACTTTTGGTCCCCTAGGAAGAAGGCTGCATCTTGTACTGACAGTGGGATATGAACTGAAGGCCTCATCCCCAAGCAGTGCAACCAGTCAGGTGAAAGCCATCTGTCAGACACCTGGAAGAGCTGTTGTATGAGGACATGAGACACTACCAGGCCCCAATACTCCACAGTGGTTTGACATGGATGCTTTTTGCGTGGTGTTGACAGAGCTGTGGGCTACGAGAGTCACAAAAGCAGACTGAGTAGTCCAGGCTCACAGAGATGACCAAAACCATGCACTTGATACCCATACCAATTCCTGGGAATTGGGAGAAGAGGCAGGGATCTTAGCCCTATGAGCCTCATTGATGTTAATGGCAATGACACAGGTAGAACTCTCTGGGCTGCCCTGAAAACTGCCCTACCTGAATTCTCCTAGCTGGACAGATAGGAAAGCTGCCTAGGGAAGATGTGACATCTCCTTCAGTGGAGGCATCTGTCCAGGACTGTTTAATAGTGGTTCAGTACCCGTTGAGGTACAGCGGCTTTAAGCCCAGTTTATGGAAATGGGAGTCTCCTCCCTTGCTTGCTCCGAGGGCCTTATGGCTGAAAGCAAGCAAAACTTGGGGGCATCTGACCCCCAAGCCTCCAGGCTTGGGCCTGCAAGTAGGATGCCCAACAAAGGCTTTGGAAACATCTGAAGTCCCAGGTGTGGGTGGACGATGTTTGCTGGTAGTGGGGCCACTTATGGTTATGGACTCTTGGATTTGGAATTAGTTTTGGCTAATTTGGCCTCAGATACAAATTATATATTAAAAAAATAAATAAATCCCACAGCGGGTTGGACTGCAGAACCCTTGATGTCCTTCCCCGTCCTTTACACCTATGGCAATACACCCTGTCGCACAGAGTAAGGGCAAAACTCGCCTCTCGGAGCTACTCAGTGGAGCTTGAATCAGATATTCTCTTCCTCTAACAGGTGCAGATGAGCCTGCATGTGCAGAAAGAGTATGGGAGTCAACATAGCCACAATCTCCCCTGCCATCCCATCCCCTCTGCTCAGCTGTCTCAGGGGCTCATTTTTAGCTGTCTTTGGAATTGTTCATATCCTAGACTGTTTCCTCCATGACTACAAATACCCAGAGAAATCCTGTTGCTCCCATTTCCTGAACAGCTGCCAAGCAGGTAAATTTACTGACAGAACCCATCCAAACTGACTGCCAAACCAGGCTCTGACAGTCACTAGTGTGTTCTAGAAAGCTTTGACAGACTGTGAGAATCCCCTTGCTCTTCCCACCACCCCCTGGGACAACTAGAGAAGCCCAAATTTAGAGATTAAAGGACAGCAACTAAGGTAGATGAAGGGTCATCAGGCACTCTAGGGCAACTAGCTTCTCCCAGTGACTGTGGGGAAGGGAGTGAGATATAAGAGAGCTTTCAACAATGTCAGGGTCCAGGTGCCCCCTGCACACTTGATAAAAGCATAAAAGCAGAGGCGGAGGGACTACTCACAGCTCCATTAATCGCAGCAGGAGTCAGGGAAGGCTGCAAGATGCTACGATTGCAGCTACATTCCTCCTAAGGAGAACAATGTCTGTGTGTGCTGACCGGCCTGAGGGTGGTGGGGACTGGGGTTCACAGCCCTTTTCAGCCTCTGCTATGAGGAACTGCGACAGGAATGCTACAGGGAGGGTCTATAAATATGGGTACAAAGAGAGAAGAGGGAAGCCAAATGTAATAAACCAGAGAAATGAGGTGTCGGCAACTGTCCACAAAAAGCAGGGAGATGCAGCCTGGGTGCCATCTCCTCTAACTCATTCTTGTTCCAGCTTTCCTGTTTTGTTTTTTGTTGTTTTTTTTAATTGTGGGTGGGCACTTTGTCTCCTAAATGAGAAGACTGGATTCCACTCTCCCTCCCCCACTGCACATACAACCTCCTTCCCCACCACCCCGTCCGGCTCCCCACTGTCTTCCCATACGCTGGAATTTTCCCACAGTCTTAGCCTCATTCTCAAGCCTGTTTTCATTAAGAGGAAATTCTAAGCTCCGTTCTGAATGTAACACTGCGTGGACAGCCACAACAGGTGGTGTGATTTTCAAATCCAGTGGAGAGAAAGAAAGACACACAGGCACGCACGTATGCATGCACACACATACACACACACAGATCTGTGCAGGGAAAGACGCAGGCAAAATTCCCTTTTCTTCCCTCTTCATAAGGAGAAGAAATAGGTCAAAGTCAGCCCCATTGCACACACACACACACACACACACACACACACACACACACGTCAAAAGCAACAACGTTACCAAATCTAAATCCAAGGAAGAAAAGATTGAGTCCAATTTGTGCCCAGTGGCCCTCACCATACAGGAGACCCCAGTGTTGAAGCTGATCCGTTAGAAGACTGGATTTACAGTCCGCTGAACTGCACAGATGCTGTTATAGTTAGAAAGATCCCTTTAAAATGGAGGGCAGAGGGGGGATCCTCAATGATAAAATACCAACAGGGTTTTATGTCATAATGCTAAACCAACCAACACTAAGAAACTCAAAGCTGAGGATATCTCTCTGGCCTGATAAGGTGATGGCCAGATAGAGTCCAACACCAGCTCGACATATCCATTTCAGGCCTTTCCTTGGATTGGGGAACAGCTTCAATTAAAGAGAGACTCTAAAAAGAAAAGTTGCAGAGCATGTTATGGGGAGTGGGACTGGCCAAGATGTTAGTAGCAGGAAAACAGACATTTGGGGTCTTTCCCGGGTTCTGTCAGGAACCCTGAATAAATCATTCCCCTTTGTTGCAACCCAGTTTCCAAGCCAGTAATGTTCTTTCCCCTTCCCCCCTTTACAGACAAGTCATTCAGTTACATGCTTTGAGATACTCAGGGCAGGGAGTAACAGTGATCGTTATTACTTTAAATGGGTTTGAATGCAGGACCCACAGCACGGGGCCAATACCACCAAAGCTAATAGCTACAACCTTGACCAGCAGTGGTAATTGAAAGCATACAGCACTTTTCAGTGGTAGAGCTCAAAACACCTCACAGAGCAGGTCGGTATCATTATTCCTAGCTCATAGAAAAGGAAAACTGAGGCACAGAATGGAGAAGTGAATTGCTAAAGGTCAACCAGCAGAACCAGGAGAAGCAGCTCTTGAGTCTCAATCTGGTGCTCCATCCACTAGCCCACACTGCTTCTCCTGGGACAATTCTTTGCAATAGGTGACTAGCTCCTGAACAGAAAGCAAGACAGCTGTGGCCTTGAGAGATGGCATAATTAAGACTCACCCTTGTGAGTCACTATTTTCCCAAAATGCACTGGGAGCTCTACAAGACAAACAAAAAAAATAAGGCTTCTGTCCAGGATCACAATTCTGCAAGATTACTGCACCAACAGAGCCCTGCTCTGTAGGCTCAGGGCTGATGGGTTTCAGGGCTTGTGGCATTTCCCCATCTCACGCCCACTGGCTATGTCCCTCCTACAGAAGGACAAGCTAGGATGCTTTTTGACTACATCTTCTCTACCACCCACCAGGCCTGTGCCCTCCCAGGCAGCCAGACAAGGGCTATGGCCTGTACCTACACAAGGGGCTATTAAGATTTCCAGCTACCCCAGTATGTTTCCAGGAAAGGTCAAAGAGACCTTTCGGCCTTGCAAGGGCCAGCCCCAGGGATGGGTCTTAGGCCTTTTGGTCCAGACACGAGAACCTGGAAGGGGAGCAGAAGGTCAGTTTGAACAAAGATCCAGACCTAAATGTTGGAGACAAATCCTAATTCCAGTACAGGCCAAACCAAAGCACCATGTCAAAACCCTCCTGAGCAATGGGTGGTTGGAAATCCAAGGGCTGCAGGAGGAAGGGAGGAGTGGAGATGTACGGAGATGAACTAGGAGTAAGTGGAGAACCACCACTTCTACCCTCCCCTGTCCAAGACAGACTCTTCCATCTGTAGCCCAGCTCCCACCGATCCCCCAAGGTGAATTAATCTCACTCCCGTTCCCAAGCACTTGATCCTCCTCCCAAGTCAATCAGCTCAGTCCACACTAGTCAGCAGCCAGCTGGCAGCAGTCAGCTGTGGCCTGAGCTGGCACCTGCTGCCTGGATTCTGACTTCTCCAACTGGGTGCTCTCTGAGTGCAAAAGCCCCACCCCTCAGATCTTGCTTTAATCTGCCCCAGTGCACAGGTGCCTCTGACTCTACATGATGGCAGATGGTCTGGAGAGCAGAGAAAAGTCAGGGCAAATTGTTAGCAACAGAGCATCCAGCAGCCTGCCCCACCAAGGACTCTTGTATTTGTCTCTCATGGCTCAAAAATATCTCCCAGTTTAAGGAGAGGAAATAAATGTAAACAGGCTGTTTGGAACTAAATCCTAAGGTGGGTACATGCTCAGCAGGGTGCTGACTCCTTTCTCTCAGCACAGGTCCATTGCCATCCTGCACAGACACAAGAGGGAAGAGTCCT